TGCAGCTCGTTGATTCGGCCTGGGCGGACAGTGTGAGAACTTTGGGTCGGTTGGGCGAACTTTCTGAGAGATTTGAACATTCGTTTTCAGAACCGGTATTTTTGGCACCTGTGCTGGGTTATTTCGCGTCCGCCAGTGAAATTCTCAGGTCCGTAGCTGGAGTATTATTATCAAAACACGTGAAGCAACCGATTTTCGGTGAAAACTGAAAAACGCAATTTTCCAAGTTTTGCAGCTCACGCGCAAGGAAGCTTCCCGCATGTATTGCGAGCAGCGCCTTGCAGACAAGAGCTCTACGAGGCTCCCGGCGGTAACCTGGTTGACGGTTTACCGCCGGCTCCCAGTCGACTGGCGCCGGCAGTAAACCGTCAACCTGGTCACCGCCTTGAACCTCGTAGAGCTCTTTGCTCAGATCAGAGTGCTCAGAATCGAAGCAGAGAACAGATTCCCTAAAATCTTCCTTCGTAGAGCTCTTCTGCAAGATGAGCTAAGAGGAATTCGGGCGCAGGGTGGAGCTAGTTGGCAGACCGGACCAAAAGAAACAATTTGCTTTGAATCTTTGTGCAAATTTTGAAAATCCGTTTCATTTTTTCCTCACGTGTAGTGGGCTATGGCGCGTCTGCGAGTCAAATTTTCAGGTCTGTAGCTGTAATATTACCATCAAAACACATGAGGGAACCGACTTTGTGAAAAGCGAAAAATCGTAATCTTTCCAGTTGCGCCGCGCTATCGGAGAGCTCTACAAGGCTGCCGGCGGTAACTTGGTTGACGGTTTATCGCCGGCTCCCAGTCATCTTTGCATTTGCAAATGTGAACATGAGGGCGGTTCCGCGAAGTCAACCTATAGAACAATAACATCTACGTAGCTGAGCTGCTCTGAGAATGAAGCTTATATGCTAATGCCCAGTGAAAAAATATGCTTCCTCAATATCTCTTTCAAATCTCAAACGGAGCCCAAGTCACCACATTGTCCGTTCTGCTCAGGTCGATCAACTAGCTCCACCCTGCGCCCGAATTCCTCTTAGCTCATCTTGCTGAAGAGCTCTACGAGGTATGAGCGGAAGTCCGGCGCGGAGGGGAGCTAGTTGCTGACCAGAAAAGAAGATGTGACGACTTTGGGTCGGTTTTCGTAAGATTTGAAAGATATCCAACAATTCATTTTCAGAAACCAGATTGTCACTCTCAGCATTCGTATCTTAAGTTTGTTCTATGGTTTTTTTTTACACAGTCTAAAATTTCTTATGTCTGTATATAGTATCTGGTTTCGTTAATATTCGTGGAGTTGGGTAGTAATAGTAGATGTTGCGCAGCCTTTCTGTTGTCCGTTTTATTGTTCATGTTGTAGATTATTTATAGATTTTTTTTTTTTTTTTTTTTTTTTTGTAAAAAAATAATGGAGATAATTTATGCGTATAGTTTCTCGGTATTCCATAATTTAGTGTACGATTTTAAAATTGTTGGTGATGAGCATTCACATAATATATTTCACAGTTGCATATTATTTTTACGTAATTCGGAAATCACACTAAAGTTTAATACTCAGAAAACACAACATATTGATTCGTCAAGAAACTGTCTTTCTAATGCTTACTTCGTTTGAAACTCTAAACTTATCCGCGCTGTCATTGAATTACACACAGTACAATGACCTCTCTAAACACGTAATTTCTGAATATTAGCATTCGAGCCGGAGACATCTCTCACACGAACAAATAAAAGCTGAAATTATGAAAATCTCGAATTTTGTTTAGAGATAAAAAACTCTGATTGTATTTGATACATTTTATTGTCATATCATGTTCGTTTCTCTTTAATTGAATATTTGCATTACGAGTATGTTGCAACTTACACTATAGGAACCCACTGAAGTTGTCACATGAGTCAAAAGGAAATGCTAAGAAACGCTAGTCTGAAGTATCTAGACATGAATTCGGTCTCCTACCAGAGCTGGGTCAGAAAAACTATTCGTACAGTGCTAAATTTTGGACATATGATGGTAACTTCCTAGAGCTGACTCGAGCTACAGAGGCCACAGAGCTGTTTGCCACAGAGCTGCCAGGAATTTACGAGACGCGCTAGTTTCAAGTATCCAGATGCCCGCACGCGTCACGCTCTCAGAGTTGGGGCCAGAAAATTATTCGTACTCTATTAATTTCTTCAGAGGTGCTTTCTCCTTACTCCTTCTTCTCCTCCACGTCCTCCTCCATGAGACCGCGCCCTCGCGCGCGCAATGCGAGATTGCCGCGCTTGCATTGCACGAGGAAGCTCTGCGAGTTCCCGGCGGTAGCCAAGGTTGACGGTGTACCGCCGGCTTCCAGTTTTGAGAAACTTCAAAGTTTGTTTGGAGAATCAAGATCTTTGTTCCCTGTAGTCGATCACGGCGCGTTCGATGGTACAATTCTCCGGGCACTAGGTGCAGTATTTCGATCAAAACATTTGGAGCAGCTAACTTCTTATGAAATCAACACAATAATTTTACGAGTTTTCTAGCTGACATTCGAGAACGCTCTCTTCTGCTTATCTAGAGCTGACTTGGTGTGTTTCGAGCTCTACGAGGGTCCCGGGGCTAACCTGGTTAACGGTTTACCGCCGGCTCCCAGTTCCGGCGCGGGATGCAGCTAGCTGGCCAAGCCGGCCCAGGCGAACAATGTGGGAACTTTGGCTCGGCTAGACGAAGATTCTAAAAGATTTAGATATGCGTTTCGGGAACCCGGTTTTTTTGCACCTGTATTGGGTTATGCCCCGTCTGCCAGTGAAATTCTCAGGTCTGTAGCTGCAGTCTTGCTTTCAAAACATTTTGCGGAGCCGATTTTAGATAAAAGCCGAAAAACGTATTTTTGTCAAGTTTTTTCAGCTCACCCTTGAGGAGCTCCACCCATGTGTTCCGAGCTGCGCCGCGCGAGGATGTTCTCTACGAGGCTTTCGGCGGTAACTTGGTTGACGGTTTACCGCCGGCTCCCAGTTGGTTCCTCCTAGTCTTTCGATCGGAATGCGGCGCCTACAGCCCTGAGGATTGCAGCGTGATCGACTGCAGAGAGTAAAATTTGCCGGTCCGAAACGAATGTTCAAATCTCTTACAATCGTCCAAAAAGCGACCCACAGTTCCTGCGCTGTCCGCCCATGCCGGGTGGGCCGACTAGCTGCATCCCGCGCCGGAATTCCTCTAGCTCATCGATGTCGAAGAGCTCTACGAGGTACTAGCTCCAGAGCGCGCCAGAATTACTCCGCTATCGCCGCCGCTAACGCTCTTAGGGAAGCTCTACGAGTCACCAGTTATACCGACCCCAGGACGTCGCATTGTCCGTTCTGGCCGGGTCGGCCAACTAGCTCCATCCAGCGCCGGAATTCCTCTATCTCATCGATGCCGAAGAGTTTGACGAGGTACTTGAGACTAGGACATCCGACGATTCCCTTCCGATTGCTGTGCCGAACAGCTCTATAACTCATACCGCGTAGAGGTCTTCGGCATCGGGGAGCTAGAGAAATTCCGGCGCGCGGTGGAGCTAGTTGGCCGACCCGGCCCGGGCAGACGATGAATCAACCTGGGGTCGGTTTTTCGAAGGTTCGGAGAGATTTTGAAATTCGTTTAAAGAACTGATATTTCTATCACGTGTAGTGGGTTATGACGCGTCCGCCTGTTAAATTCACAGGTCCGTAGCTGCAGTATTACAGTCAAAAGACGTGGAGGAACCGACATTTCTTCGTGAAAGCTAAAAGCGTGTTTTTCCGAGTTTTTCAGCTCACGCTGAAGAAAGCTTCGTCCATGTGGTCCGATCAGCGCCGCGCGAGGAAAGAGCTCTACGAGGCTCCCGGCGGTGGTTCATGGTTTTCCGTCGTGTTAGAAAAATCTGAGGACTTCAGCTCGATGTTCTTCTCATTAATATCTCGTAGAGCTCTTCGGCATGAATCGGTGGATCTGGTACCTCGTGGAGCTCTCGGACGTGATGTAGAAGAATTCCGGCGCAGGGTGCGGCTAGTCGGAGAATGTGGGAACTTCGGTTCGATTCCGAGAATTGTGAAAGATAAGACAATTGAATATGATAACTGGTACTGCTAACACATTTAGCAGATACCTCGTAGAGCTCTTCTGTATCAGTTCGTCACGTTAAGTGCGTTGTGCTGCGTTTGCCTGTTTAAAAGCTTACCTCGTAGAGCTCTTTGGTATCGATGAGCTAGAGGAATTCCGGCGCGGGGTGGAGCTAGTTGGCCGACCCGGCCTGGGCGGGCAATGTGTCAACCCGGGGTCGGTTTTTCGAATAGCCGTCGCACAGCTCTCGCAAATTAGAAGGAACCGTCGGCTAGCAGAATACATGTCGGAGCCTGAGTCTTCTTCGAAAGATGGTGAAATATTTCAAGGATCGTTTTTTACAATCCAGATTATCATTGCCCGCAGTCGTGTATGGCGCGTTCCATGGTAGAATTCTCGGGGCTGCAGGTGCAGTATTCGATCGAAAGATATCTGGGAAACGAGATCGTATAAAACCCGAAAATACACTTTGCGCGAGTATAAGCTGACATTCGGGAACGCTCTTCTCTTGTTATCTGGGCTCTGTTCTTGTGTGCTGAGAGCTCTACGAGGTCTTGGCGGTAACCTGGTTGACGGTTTACCGCCGGCTCCCAGTTTCGAAGATTCTGAGAGATTGTGAAATTCGTTTTGAGAATCGGTATTTTTCGCACCTGTAGGGTATTCCGCGTCTGCCAGTGAAGTTCTCAGGTCCGTAGCTGCAGTGCTACTATGAAAACACTTGGGGAACCAACTTTGGATGCACACTTTTTTTTTTTTTTTTTTTTTTTTTTTTTGGTAATATATATATATATATATTTATATAACTCTAGTTTTTCAGCTCATGCTTGGGAAACGGTTTACCGCTGTCATCCAGTCCCGAAGTGCGTTCGTGGCGAAGCTAGAAGAGTAAGACTTCGTAGAGCTCTTCGACGAGATCAAGGAAGCTTTCTCGTCGTATTCTGAGCACTACTTCACGTGTGAAGAGCTCTACGAGGGTCCCTGCGGTAACCTGGTGATCGGTACTACTGCTCACTTTTCGGCTTCGTTTGGAGTGCTTGATGTTGTGACTGCCTGACGGGGCCCTGTTAGTGGGGCCGCAGGTGTTCGATTTTGACTTGCCTAAGCCACGCTGGCTCGGCACGTGTCATTCTTGCTGCCTCAAAGTGTGTCCTTGCCCGCGTCCTTATTTTGTACTCTTGTACAGCTCAACGAGTGTCGCAGTTTTTCCTGGCTTATTGTGAGCCTGCTCGCTGCCCCATGAGGGCCTGATTAGCGAGACCGTAAACCGCAGAAAAACCTGGTCTCCTCCCCCTCGGGATCTGGAGGCTGGGGTCTTCCGTCATGGGCCTCGTCTCGAGCTGCATCGTGCAGAGAGCGGGGTGGTCTCTCTTACGTTAACTTCCCATCCTGTACTCTCGCTCTTTTGTGTTCCCCATACTTTGCACTTTCATCCTGCAGTTGTGCATTGTGTTGTTCTTGACATACGGTACGCTGTGCACTTGTACTGAGCCTCGAGCCAGTGCTTTTCTTCTATTGATGTTGTCTTCTTTGGGTGGGCCCCTTGGATCTCATATTCGAGTGAGCGGTCTCCAGAAAGTCACGACTGGCATTTTTCTTTTAAGCCTCATGCCTCTCATAATCATTTCTCCGTTGCAGTTCCCAAATCTGGCAGTTGGAAGCGCAAAACCCGAATATTGATACTGGCTGCCTGGAGGCAGATTGAGGTGGACTTCAGCTTGATTGGCGTCCCTTTGACCTCAGCCGCTGGCGTCGGGAGTCAGCGCGCTTCTTCTACCATCTATCTGTCTGGTTCTCTCGGAGAGCCCGTGCAGGGACAGGAGGAGGAGGGCTTGCAGCAATATCAAGTTTCTTCACATTATGATGTATCCGATTCACAGGTTCCCGCTCTATTTGTTTCGCATGTGTCATCGTTGTCGGGGTGCGAGAAGGAGGAGAAGGAGGAAATGGAGGATGATGATGATGATTCGCAGCATATTCAAGCATCCGGTGCAATTGTTAGTGTTGAAACAGCAACGGAGCTCGTGCCAACAAACCCTCGTGTCAGAAAGTATTGCTTTGAACGGCCGGTTGTTGCGGACAAGCGTGCTATCGCTTCCGCCTGGCAACAGTGGCAAGGTGGTGTGGATCCCGAGGCGCTCTGTAGCAGTGCGCCAGGCAGTGAACCTATTGTGTGCACGGGCCCCCGCACATTTAGAGTTGAATATGCTTCGACGTCTTCTTGGCAGAGGCAACTCCCATGCGGATCTCGTGTGCTTCGAAGGCTGTCTTATTGCAGCGGGCTCGGATGAAGAGCTCGGCGTGGGCTCCACTTCCTGTATAGATTTGCTTCCGGGGATGTGGAGGACGGTGGAAGAGTTGCTGCACAATTTGGGTCACGATGTGGCATGCTTTGCAGTGCAGCGAGGTTTGGGATGGTGTTTTCCACGATGAAGAGCTCATGGATGATCTTCTTGAGTCGGTCGTCGTTCGTCCAAGATGTGACGGGACGAGGATCTGGGAAGACGTTCGGCAAAGTTAGCTGTACTCTCGCTCTTTTGTGTTCCGCATGCCGTACTACCGTGCACTTTCATCCTGCAGTTGTGCATTTTTCCTGACATACGGTCCGCTGTGTACTTGTACTGAGCTTCAAGCCAGTGCCTTTCTTTAAATGAGATTGTCTTCTCTGGGTGGGCCCCCGTTGGATTTCATATGCGAGTGAGCGGTCTCAGGAAAGTCACGACTTTCATTTTCCCTACAATCCTCATGCTTCTCATAGTCAATTCCCCGTTCCAGTTCTTCGTATCAGTTCCCGTTGACAGGATCCGCGAGCTGCTCGCTCGCATATTTTTGAAACATATGGAACGGCATAACTGAGTTATTGACGGTGAAACACTCATCGCGATCCGTGGTTCATTCGACGGAGGCGTTTCCTCTGTCGGTGCTGGCGGAGGGTAGTGGCTGGATGGAGAGCTTGCACCGCCTCGTGACATAGAGAGGGCCAAAGGACGTGAAGGCGCGAGGATGTCAAGATTTCGACCGATCGCGGAGGAGGCGTTTGGCCTGGATCCGCGGTCGTCTGTGACCGAGTGCGAGCTTGAAGCTGCGGCCAGGCTCGCGGTCTTGGTCTGTGAAGTCCTTCGTATCGTGGCCACTTGCTAATATTCTCCTGTTCCATATTCCTGCGTATACTTGATGCCTAAGCCAACCTGGCTCGGTATCCTCTTGTAACCTTCACTTCTGGCCCTCGTTTGGAGGGTCGTACTTGACTTGCGAGACGGTGTGCGGCATTGTCTTTGGTCGCGTTCTTGTGGTTTGTTATCGTCATGCTTAAGCCACCCTGGCTCGGCATTTCTCTCATGATGCCTCAAATAAGGTCACTTGTATTGCCTCGCTTGTATGTCTACGAGTGTCGCTGTTTTTCCTGGCTTATTGTGAGCCCGCTTGCTGCCCCGCGAGGGCCTGGCCGCGAGACCGCAAGTCGCAAGAAAAACCTGGCTGACGGCTGACCGCTGACTCCCAGTTGACCGACCCGCCAGGGCGGACCTTTTTTTGTTGTTATATATTTATACATATATACATTGGTGGTTCTTTTTTGTTCATTTTTTGTGGATCTCTCTAGATTGTTGTAGATTTGACAAGGTTTTGTTGGGTGACAGAATCTTTCGAACGTGAAGTGTGTTATGCCGCGCCTGCCAGCCAAATTTTCCGGCCCGTAGCTGCAATGTTACCGTCGAAAAAAAGTGGAGGAACCAACTTCCCATACAACCCCTCAAAAATACATTCTGCGAATTTTTAAGCTGAGTTTCGACGAAGCTTTCTCTTCATAATCGACCGTAGCCATTTTGGCTCAAGGCTCAAGACGTCGAGGGTTCGAGACGTCAGGGTTCGAGACGTCAGGGTTCGACGTCGAACAGGGCCCACGTCAGGGCGCACACGCAGGCTTGCCTCAAGCCCCCCTCTCGTGCGGTGCGTGTTTGACGTATCGCGGGGGCTGTGTTCACATTGATTCCTCGCTCTCGTCCTTGATATCAAGATATCGTGGGGATCGCAGGAAGATCAGGATTTGTCTGGATTTTACAAAAGACCACTGTGGGCGGTTGGATTGAAAACGGACTCGCAGGGAGCATATATTATACCGTCAGAAGAAGATCAGAGTGAATATTTCACGTCAGCTGACTTTGGTGTGGATAGTGACCCACATCCGTGTGACTGGTTGAAAGACACATCAGCTACTGTGCCGCGATTAGCGACGCAGGAGAAGAGGGAAGATCAGATAGCACTCGAGTTGGAAATTTCTCCACCAGAGGCATTTGTTCAGCAGGAAGCGTACGATTTCAAGAAGATTGGGCAATCAGATAGATATCAGGCTGCACTTCACACATTGCGTACAGTCAAAGAGAGGAATAAACGACGTTCGCCAGCAATCATGGCGGATGACAAAGCAGAAGATAGCAAAATGGGAGGGAATGCGAGTAGTGAATGGTTGAGAGAGGTGAGGGCGAAAGGGGAGGGCAAAGGTTCCAGTGCTTCGAGTGGTCTGGCCGCGGCTTCCAGTGCTGCTGTCCAGGCGCCTCATTTAGCTACAGCCCGAGTCCCCAATGCTACGAGTGGTCTGGCCGTGGCCCAAAGTGCTGCTGTCCAGGCGCCTCAACCAGCTACAATGACGCCCGAGGAAATGTTCAGACAGATTTTGAAAGGCCAGAGTGAAGTAACTGCGACGGTTAGTGAGTTCAAAACATCGGTTGCAGCTGATTTACATGTCATGGAGGAGAAGATTGACAGAACAACGTCAGATGTCAAAACGTTATCGGAGCAAATGAAACAGGCCCAAGCTGACATTCAGAATCTGAAAAATGGAGACGCTCAATCTTGCGCAAGCGGGTCGACTAGATACGGATCAGGTGACGCGGGCAGTGGTGCAGGGCATAATTCGAACTGGGTACCATCATATATTGAGTTCAAAGGATGGATATCACGTGAGGGTTGGAAGAATAGAGAGATAAAACAAAGGGAGGCCATGAAACAACAGGTGCTGACCGACAACATAACGAAATTATTGGGATTGGCATCGCTGGACGCAACACATAATGCTGCTTTTGATCATGCGAGAACTGCGGCGGAGAATACTGGCAGGTACTGGCCATACACACGAGGGCGGATCTATTTCAAAAAGGGGACGGCAGTGGATATCATATGGCAGGTTCGGAATTGTTTCGACAGCGAATACAAGAAGGGAAACACTGACCTCCCACCGAATGTAAAGTTTCATGTAGAATGCGCGCCATGGAGAACACCCCATGTCCAACAGGTTGGTAAGTTCCAGAGTTGCTTTGCGGAAGTGAAGAAGACGACGGGGACAATGTGCAAGGGGGAGCCAGGGCCGCCAAAATCATACATATGGTTTACACAAAACCCACAGGCAGATCCAGACACAAGAGTACTGATTGCTGAGTGGGGTGTGCACAGCGGGTGGGCGCTACACACTAATAATCTGAGGAGGGTGGAGCCTGAGGTGGATCAAGAGGGGTTACTCACGAAGCTCAGACAGATGAACAATTGACGGTGCCAGTCTGCCACTCAGCTCGCGGTGGCAACTTGGAATGTCAACATGAGGAATAGCGAGCTTTTGCCAGCAATGCTGGAGTTTTGTCATTATGATGTGTTGTGCTTGCAGGAGTGTCAGTACATGTCATCTGCAGCATTTGAAGCATGTGGGTGGCAGGTGCGTTTTAGTGTGTGCCGACGAGCTGCTGTGGCCTTCAGGGGCCCATGGGCGGCGACTATTTCGGACAGTAAATGCGGTGAGAGGTTTGCTGTTGTACAATTTGCATCTGTGGTTGTGTCCTCAGTGTACCTACCCACAGTGCAGCGGGGAGATGATAGGCTCGATGAATATTGTGACGTTCTAGCTAAGCTGTGTGCATGCATGCAACTATGTAGCGAGCAATACCAGGGGTCCAAAGTATTGCAGTTTGTGGGGACAGATGCGCAGACGGAGCTGGAACCAAATCTCTTGGGGTTCACGGGAGAAGGATTGGAGGAGGTGTGGATGAGGTCGGATCCTACACAGGATCGAGCGTCACGCTACAGTGGCCATGCGAAGGTAGGTGTGAGGATAAAACATGTGTCGGTGCGCAAGCCTTTCGTGCGACCCAGGCCCCCGAGCCTCATCAATTGGGCCCCGGAGGATTATGAGTCAGCGAATGTGTTCAGTACACTGGCCGATGTGCAGGTACAACAACATATGAACCAACAGGGTGACATAAATATACAAACAGTTGGACAGATACTTGTGAGTGCTGCGACGATGTGTAGGCATACAAAGGGCAGGGCGGATACTAAACCAATCAAAAAACCTGACCAACTCGTGGACGTTGAAGCGGAGTTAAGGAGGGGTGTCTTCGGTGAGCGTAGGAAACAATTACTGAGACGTCAAAAAACACTCCGAAGAAAGTTCAGGCGGGAACAGCTCCTCAAGGACTCCACTGGCCTCAAACATGGACCCCGTAGGTGCATCAAGGAAATGCTGTGTGACGGGATACTGACAGAAAATAAACAAAGATGGGTGGAGGAGCTCAACAAACACGTACAACGGTCATATACATGTGATGGGGAGGGAGGAGCTGCAAAGAGAGAGTTGCATCGACTACGGACACAGTGGGAGGCAGAGGGCAGAACTACGAACAGGGTCATATCTATGGGTGTGTTGCTGGGGGCTCGAGCCCGATTGAAGGGCGGCACCGCAGCGGGCTCTGATGGCCTGGTGGCGGAGATTCTCAAAGCAATACCTTGGAATGCATTGAGATTGATACGACACTCATTTCAAGAAATACATGATCAGAAAAAGTCGTCACCTGATTCGTGGAGAAAGTTGTGTGTGCAGTTGATTCCAAAAATGAGCATGATCCAAACATTTGGGGAGACTCGTGCAATATCGCTGTTAAGTGTTATGAGCAAGTGGTACATGGCGTGCCTTCTTATTCTTGTGGAGGAACATGGACATATCAAAAAATTGGCGACATATGGATTCCAGAAGAGTCACAAAGTTCATCACATGACGGCCCCTTTGCTGCACATGACACGTCATGCCACTCTCTGGGGAAAAGGCGAGTCGGTACATATGGGAATAATGGATATAAAGAAAGCGTTTGATCATGTCACTGTCTCGATGGTGATCCGCGCGATGGAACATCTGAGATACCCAACAGATCTGATTATTGCAATTGTGGAGCCTATGATTGGAAACACAGCAGTTTTTGATTTCCAGGATGTGTGCAGCGAAGAGATCCTGTATAACAAGTCGGTGCGAACTGGAGGGAAAGAAGGCCCAGTACTCTTCAATATTGTGTTGGAGGCAATTTGGGCCTCTATTGCTGAATCATGGGAAGCATGTCATTATGGAGTACGATTGGAAGGCGAGGGGACACAACAGGCGCTGGTCAACCATTACATATGGGCTGACAATGTGGTGCTGCTGGCATCTTCGGCGAATCAGCTGAGGAATATGGTGAGTATGTTGACCGTGGCCCTCAGACGGGCTGGTATGGACTGGAAGATTGAGAGCCTGGAGTACCTTGTTTTTGGGCTGAGACAAAACCAGGGACCACAATCATTAGTTTGCGAACTGGGAGATGATATTTGTGCACGGGCTGGAGACCCCAGCCTACCCTATCAATTACGTGAGGCAGTGGTTTTGCCGAGGAAAAGCGAGTGCGAAATACTGGGAGTTAAATTTGTGACGAACCCGAAGGATTTCCATGCAGTGCGGCACCGTATTGATGCTGGCAGGCGGTGTTTCTATGCTGATATTAAATTCTATCGATCACGCGCGGTGAGCATGAGGGAAAAATTCAGACGGTATCAGAGCAGAGTTCAACAGATCATATGCCATGGATGTGTGGGGTGGAGCTGTAATGAACATGTGCTGAACATATTGAGGAGCTTTGAAGGAAGATGTTTGAACACAATGCGGGGATTACATAGAAAAGAGACGGAAACGTGGGAGGAGTTCAGGGATCGCAGTACCAACAGATCCAGGGAGATGTTCAAGGAGGGGGGGTTCAAAACGTTGGTGGAGAAAGTTGTGAGGTACAATTTTGAATTCGCCGTGGAGGTATCCCAATATAAGTGCCACATGCCGTCCACTGTGTATAGCAAATCGTGGCAGCAGACGCTGCGCTCCATGTTGCACGTATCGGGGGAGTGGACGGTGCAGAGGGATGAAATGCTGGCGGCAGTAAGTCGGACGATGTCGAGAGAGGGAACGAGACGGCTCAGAGGCAGACCACGAATCGTGGCGAGCAGCTGGCATGCACCCTTTGAAAAGTGGAGGTCGCTTCTGTGGCACGACACGTGCGTTGTACTGACGGATTGGGAGGAGTTTGTGGAACACATATCACAGATACCCAAAGTGGAGGATATGTTTGTGAGGAGGAGTAAGGAGAGGAGGATGGGAGGGTTTGCGAAGACACCGACAGATGACGAGTTGGCCCGACGTCTTGCAGTTATTAATGAACAGACTACGATATGGGACCCTGGGATGGAAGGTATCGCTGTTGAAATGTGCGGAGACAGTAAAACGGTC